GGCTCGAACCGGTGACCTTCTTGCTGTGAGGCGAGATCGCTACCCACTGCGCCACCGTGTTGCCCCAAGTATTCTTTTTATTTATTTATTTATTTAATATAATTTAGTTGAAGTTCTTTCATTGGTATATTGTACTGTCATATCTTAGTATTGGTTATGATAGCTGGATTTTTATACTGTAACTTTTTATAGATTTTTGTTTTGTGAGATTTTTGCAAATCTTTTTTTGTCTTTTTCTTTCATTTTTATTGGATTCAGAGCCCTGCTAAGTGTCACATAACAAATCCCACTTTGGATGTCATAGATATTCATCAAAGGACGGGCTTGATGCGCTTCTAGATCTCACAATTTCTAAAATAATATCTATGCTAGATGAAAGTAGCAAGAGGACGTATTGGAAACTTTAGTTTACTCACATTCAGTGTTGACAACAAACACTGTTGCTGTGACAATGTCAAGTTTAGACATGATGTTAGAGAGTTGGGGGTAGGCAGTTTTTACTTCAACCAATAGAAATCTTCCATTGAACACCTTAGCAACCGCACAACAACATCTTGGCAACCACCCAAATCACACTACCATCACGGCTTCATGTTTTCCATGTAAAAATCTAGATAAACTTGTTTGTGTCTCATGTCTCTTTTGCTTGTTTGAAATTGACAGCACCAATGTTGACCCTCTTGAAAGAATTCCAGGTGACTCACACTACACAAAATCAGCAAGTCAAGACCAAAGATTTAAACCTTTAACAGGCAACACCCAGAGATCTAAAGAGTTCCCTTAGGCTCCGGAGACTGTTCGTCGACCTGCGACGCTCTTGCAAAGACAAAGACGGAGCTAGACGGAGGGGGAGTTTTATTGAGTGAGACTGTTTCTGCTGCCCTCTCTCTCTCTCTCTCTCTCTCTCTCCCTCTCTCTCTCTTTCTCGCTCTCTCTCTTTCTCTTTCAGTATAAACATCTGTGGCTGGTTAATGTTAGCCCCAGAGCTAAGTGCAGAGAAAGGGGTTCTGGTTCTCACAACAGTGATAGCAGTGGTAAAAGGGCAGGGAGGTGTGGTGGCGAACAGGCAACAGCTACACAAATGCTCCTGGGCCGACTGCCCAATACTAATCAGAGAGAGAGGGCAGGAGAAAGCCCATTTAGGGGGGTAAAACTGATAAGAGAAGGTAGCTGGGGAGCATCTTGGGAACTGAAAGTGATGCAGAGTAGGAGTCCAAAAAGCTGAAAGCGACTCTGCTTTGCCTTGTGTGTTTTCTTAACAATAGGGAGCAGAAAATAGCACAGCTTAGTTGTGGACTTTGGTCAGAATGGCAGGGACTGATTTGGTACTGTTCTGTTTTATTGTTTGTTTGGTTTCAGGGCCTTTGTAGTATGTTTTTGGCAGGTCAAGCTGATCTGATAAAGAGTGAAATGTAAGAACCAGTTTAATCTGGAGGTTATTGACCCACAAGAAGCCTCAGGTGTATTCAACGAGAATCAACAAACCAAAGGAAAATGAAAAAGCAGCTCTGCCTCAAGCTCTATGTACAATAATTAATATGGCAAAGACTAAAGAAACCTTGTACGATCCTATCTGCAAAGGATTTCCTGAAGACACTATCACTCTTCCTACACCATGCGACAGAGAGCTGTCAAGACTTTCATTGCACAATAGTGAAGAATTTGGTAAAACCATAGACCCTTTTCACATTTCCGGGTTTCTCAGTAGCCGAAGGCATCAAAGTTAAGTAAACTTAACGCGCAGTGAATTGGAGAGTACAAAAAGTTTTTTTACAGTCCTATTTGCTGAAATAATAAAAAAGAAATGACACAATAGTGTTAAGACTTTCAGAAAAAGAAAATAGTTTGTGAGACTGATGACGGCAGCCAGAGGAGAGAATAACTTCAAATTTACTCTAAGCCCCATAAACGATGCATTAGAAACTCCTTGCATAAGCAGTAATTTGTTAGTTTGACGCAAAGATAATATAATGCATTCATAAATGCATATAAATCTTCTTAGTTTTTTTCAAATCAAAATATTAAAAAATTTCAAAGAATTTAGATTATGTTGACCGTTAAATGCATCATAACAGTTTTGTGAAAAGGCTCCATTGAAAGTGTTTAAAATAAGTAAGGTAGACTAATACATTACACTGGGATAAATAATGAAGCAGCAAATAAACATGGAACTCCACTAACAAAAGGAACTCTGCAAACATACGTCTAGTAGATTACAGATTCTGAGAAATTTCATGCATCCGCTTAGGGAATAGTTTAACAGAGGTTGTGTAGCGGCTAAGGTCAGAGATCACCTCTAGTTTCAGCTGTTTTCAGACTGATTTACTTTTTTTTTGTTTTTTTTTCAAACTGAAAGAGATTTCTGTAAGACATTCAAGAAAATCATTGCAAGAGTAACTGTTGCAAAATGTGTTATGTTTTTACACCACTCTCAAATGCAAATACAGCCAAGGATTTGCTGGTTTACTGGTATAATAATAGACTTTGGATGGCTTTTTAGTGTTTGTTATTGTAAAGTTTCGCAGACTGTTTTGGGAATTCAAACAACAAAAATTAATCCAAATCTACAGATCTTTTTATTGTAGCTTGTTAATGCAACATTGGTTCATTTGCTGGTATTTATGCAAACAGGAAGGTTGTAAAATGTACAAAACCCCCAAGTTTAATTTATTTGGCTTCTCCATTCATAGAAACATGTGTCCTCTCACTGCCCGCTTTAAAGAGATTTGCTCCACAGTTGAAGGTTCTGTCATCATTTATTCATTTTCTGCTGTTTCACCTGTATTTTCCCATTCAGTGAACATATCAGACCTCTTTGACCTTTACTCCTATGCATCATAATATGCATGAATTGATGTTGTACCTTCTTTTGTGCTCTGTATGCATGGCATATGCATGTTTAAACAACATATATGTGAATTAATGATCGCATGTCTTTCAGTTTTTGCTAAACAACCCTTAAAACACCAATTTCACCAGTCCTTCTCGAAGCAACCCTTGTTTTTCTTTCCAAACAGTCTGTAACAATGTGGACTTGACTCATTCTAACTGCACATTTAGGACTCCCATAACAGGCAAATGCAGTTTACTGTTTCTCTCTGTCCCATAGTTGCACAGGGCCTGGAAAAGCCGAGCGAACATGTCTCACAAACACTGGGAACATTCCTACAGTGTTTTGTAATGGCATATTTCAGATTTCGAAAAGAAAGTGGAGAAAAACAAAACAGCATGCGATAACGCGGCGGTTCCAGAAGCAGCATAAGAAGACACATTATGGAACCATCGAAGCCAAGCTCCTTTTCACTGCCTGATTGACAGTTCCCGTCCATCCCCTCTGATGCTTTCCCACGCCACAGTAATTGTAAAAGGCAGTCAGCCGAAACCACTGGTCAGTCGCAGAATGGCCACAACACAAAGACTTGATGAGAAAGCCGGCCAGTGTTTTCTAAAGGATCTGCTGTCCTCCACATACATGCATACATAAAGATGCCTCTGTTTCTTGTTTTAGCTCTTGTCTCTGCTTGCCCGCAAAAGGATTAACTCTTTCTCAGCTTTTAATGCTGCGTCGGATGAGATTTATCACGGATGATGGAATGAATGTATGTTTAAGCATGTCTGTGAAATACAAACAAACTTGACACAGATTCTAATAGAGTTGTCTCGTGCCTACACCTATATATAGTTGGTAATTCCTAAAAAACACATTTCCGTAGTGTGACACAAGGGGGCAGCCTGTCCCTCAAGTTCAGCGCCCCTGCCACCAAACTAACCCTCATGTACACAAAGCAGCAATTAGAGGAAAATATGCTTTCATGTCAAAAACAAAGCTATTTGGCAGCACGATTTGGCCTGTCTTTGTGCTAATAATGTGCCGTAATCCTGCTTGACTGGAGATGAATTTGGAGGTTAGAAGCCAAACGAGAATGCTGGAGACGTTTTATTTACTCAGTCGCTGTAGATTCCTCTGGTATGGGAGGCATAAATCATCGCTTATGGGACGAAAGAGAACGAGACAGTGGAGATGTAAGGAGAGAGAGAAAAATGAGTGTAGCTAGAGAGTGGTGCTAAACAATGGGCTTTACCCAACACACCCTACTAATTCACTTTCTCACGTCATCTCTTCTCAGATGGCTTTGGGGAAACATGGACCCAGAGCATTACCGCCTGGCCCGGGCCACTTTAGCTCCTCTCTAGGGCCCACTAAAACACACACTCGCTCACTCGTGTTCTATCAGGGTTTTATCTAGCACTCTGGAAGTGCTCTAGAATGTGTTCTGGTCAGTGTCTTGAATAGGGGAATTTCTTCCTGTCTCCTTCTTTCTGATGTCATCAATGCGGGAATCAATGCAGCCACATCTAGCTCTGAGCTCAGGTGTTGACATGCATCAGTGCCGGCTCCTCTTCGTCCTCTTGCGGGTGGTCTGGGAAAGACCCGTGTGAGTGGACTGGAGCGCAGTGACAGGCTTGCTCTTGCGCTCATGTGTAAAACATAATCAGGCCGGTGTGGAGCAGAGATGTAACGAGTGCTTAAACGGCCGCGACGTCTCTGGCTCCCCTACTCTGCAATGACTTATTGTCCTTGACGTGCTGACGCAGCACTCTAAGAATTCCAGTCTTTGGATGAAGTTCTGCAGACTCCCCAATTCGGGCCCTCTTCTTTTCTTGTCACATTTCCATAAACTAACAGGTTAGCGAGGGCATCCTTTGGCAAAGCCTGCAAATCCTTTGCTGTGTCATTCCTCTGCATGGCTTTGGTTTTAACGCCTCCATCTCTGAGATCAAGTGTATCTGGTTACTGACATAATGCTAATGAGGTGCGTTTACAAAGCTTGTAAAACTGCTGGGTAGAAAGGGGGAAGCAGATGCACAAAGACAAGAGGAAGGGGATGATGTGACTTGCCTTCAGCTATGGATTTGAAGGTGTCATTCAATCAGCTTAGTGATGACTTCTTTTTTGTTGTGTTTAATACCCTCATCCTTCTCTCTTTCTCTCTCAAAAGTGTGGGAATTACGCCGTGCTGGTGGATCTTCACATATTGGCCTTAGGCGACCAAGACAATGCCAACTGGTTCTCTCCAGCGCACAGGAAGGTATGGGAATGAGGGTGTGTTTCTGTTTGTTTGTGTATGTCCTCTTACATTTCAAAAAGCTTATACTGCAGGAATCTGGAATTTGGATCTTCTCTTGGGGATCCCCCCATCCTCTTTCTGCATTTATAAGATATATGTTTTCATTGGCCCACACTGCCTAAAGGCAGAGAGGCTTTGAATGATTTCCCCTCCAAGGTTTAACTCTACATGCAGCACTTCTAGTTAAATTTGAGCTCCATATAAAAGGTTTCGAGTGAATGTCACCTTGGGAGGTTTTTTTAGGTTTGCACAAACCGTTACTTGTTTTTATTCACAGGAAGTGGGCTCTTTGATTAGGGATGCATTGGAGCCCAGGGTGAGGCAGTTCCAAGAGGCCAGATACCAGAAGATCCAGTCCAAACCAAGGAAAGATCTCACCCCGACTGCCCCTCTTTGTCTTGAAGGTATAAACACATATGCTCTGTTCCAAAATCTAAGCTGTGTCTGAAATTGAATGCTTTCTAGTGCAGGAGTGTCCAGTCTTGCTCCAGGGCAGCCAATGTCCTTCAAATTTGAGCTCCAACGTGCTCAAACACACTTGTCTGAAATTTTCTATTGACTCTGAAAACCGGGTTTAACTGTGTTTGATTGGGGCTGAAGGTAAACTCTGGAGCACATTGGTTTGGACACCCTTGATCTTGTAGGCACTTCATTTGTGTTTACACCTATTTTGCAACTGTAAAGTATGTTTTATGTAGTGTACATGTGGGTAGTGTAAATGAAACTTGACCCACCAATTTGTGTTGTTTTACTGCCTATGGCAACTCCTTTACTGTGGGCTCATGGGTTAGTAAAGATGTGCCCTTCAGATAATCTAGAGTTGTTGTTGTTTGCCAATGTAAGATATTTAACTACACTATTTAGTTTAAACCTTTGGCATGCATTGAGATAATGGTGATGAATGGACCCATCCTTTACTTTAATTAATGTCTACTAATACTTAACATTATATTGATTTATGTCTATTTTGCTGTGCCCTTTTGAACCACAATTACCACTGTAATGTTCCAATACAATACCGAATGCATCTGTCAAGATGCGTAAAATATCGGTTACACCTGCATATTTGACAATTTGCTATAGGCTATTGAAATGTATAATTACCTGTGATCAAGTTGCAAGTGAAGACCTGCGTTTTTCTCTCACACCTATTTTAAAAATGAACTCTACTTCATGAACATGAGACATGTCACACAGCTTTACCGCACGGGTGCTCAGTATGTTGCTGTCCCACAGCAGGAAGGGAGAGATTTCATAACAAAGTAGAGAAATTGATGACATACCTGCATGCCAGCATAAATGAAAACTAGTTGAGACTAGGTAGCACTCCCCAGGAGTGTCTCGACCGCCCCCATAGAGATGTGCTGAATGTGTTTAACTTGGCTTTCTCTTCAGCATGTATGCAGGCCATATGTCTCACCCGCCCACCTCTGCTTTTCTCTTGATATTCTCATGTTGCGTTTAAACTATCATGCAGTTGGCTTTAAGTTTTCTGTATTTTGATCAGGGATGCCAAAACTACTAGATATTTTTTTCAAACTGCATAATGCGTTTAACTTTGAGATTTTAGGAATTGATATCAATAATGTTTCAAGTTAAACTTTAACTCTTGTCAGTGATCTTTCAGTTCCATTTTTTGATTTGCATTTCTTGATCTTGCTCAGTTTTCATAATTACCTTAAATCATAATTACACTAAGAATGTTTCTTGCATTAATTGCAATTTCCTGTTATGTATTTGATCTATGAGCAGGTTTTTCTACTCAACCTTTTAGGTAGTTATTTACTCTTAAAATAAACTCTTTGAATTATATTTTTTCATGAACAAATGACATTCAGAATCGAGGTGAATGTATATAAAATGTATACAAATTCAATCCGCAGCTTGTTATTCTGAATCAAATTTTAAAAAATGTGATAGTGTGATACCTGAGCATTAAGGGTGTCACGATCCTCCAAATCCTCGATTCGATTACATTTTCGATTCTAAAGGCATGATTCAATTCGATTTTCGATTATGAATAATTAATTAATGACCAATTAATTATTTGTAGCCTACCATTTAAACTACCTGACCTGCATGGTCTTTGTTTTACCCATAAACAAATCATACAGTAAATGAATAAAGGCAAGATACACGCATAATTACCACCTGTCAATCACTTTTTTCTGCGGGACTCGTGAATAGGCAGTGATCTGTGTCGTTATAATGGCGTCGGTAAAAAAGACGCACAACCAACAGGAACCAGCCAACAGTATCTGAGGTGTTCGCTAAAATGACTAAGTACAAGTGAGTGAAAGATTGAAGCAGTCCTCTGACTGCCTGGACCTGCTGTCTCGAGCGCATGGCTGTGAGTGCGTCTGTGTCTGTGTGGTCACGTGATGTGCATTTTCAGAGGTAGAGAGGAAGGAGGGCTGCTCAGAAACGCTACACACCACTGTGGATGTCAAATCGTTGTCGTTCTAAAATGCCATTTAAAAACAAAGACAGTGTAAACAGGGCCTGAGTGTGTACTTTTCACGAGCGGATTTGCGCCGGGGGCGGGCGGAGGATCGCGATGTTGGTGTTGTCTATCGGACGAACCGTACGTAATAAAAACATAGCAGAGCTTGCAAAACTGGGTTTTTTTTTTGTCGACAACACAAACGTTGTCAACATAACTCACTGGAAATCCAAAATGCTTACACACCGGCGACTTCATTGAAAGAGGAGAGGGTTTAAGTTCTGTCGACGGGTCTCCTGCTTCTGCAGTTTAACAAGCACTTCAACAAGCCTGTTTTTTTCCCGCTTGGCAAGCCAAGCTGACGTGACATGGTGGTGTTGCAGCATCGACGATTCTATTTTTTGATTCGATAATCGAAATTGAGCATAAATTTCGATCGATTTTGATTAAAAATCGAAATCGTGACACCCCTACTGAGCATTGATCCAGCATTCACAAATGCATTCAACTCCTTCCAAAGCTCTTTAATCCATTTTTTACTCTCTATATTGATGTGTTCATATATAATACACATAACAAATAACCGTAAATTGTGTGAAAAATCTGTCATATTACAATTTAAAGAGGAACAACGGATCCCAATTTCAATCGATTTTATCTTTAGACACTTTTAGCACTTTTGAATTGCATTAGGGGACCTTGATCTCTGCCCTGACAACTTTAAACTATACTTAAAATGCAAATCAGTCACTTTATACTTCTCATCGTTGAAGCTGTCAGAGATCAAGTTCCCACGATGCAGTTCAAAATAAACAGAAAACACCCATGAGTCACAAAACATGGGTTAAGAAATATTTGCTATAGCCTATTAAGGTCTTGTATTCAAGATTTAATTACGTTTCTATGCAAGTTTGTTCTTAAAATAAACAGTGGTGGCTGTTGCAACCTGTTTTTTCATGTAACGTTATGTGACATTGTTTACAACCTGTTTTGCTAATGTCTTTTCATGTTTGAAACAATGATTGAGTGATTGCATACATTGAAAATCAGTTATCCATATCATCAACCTAACCCTAGTTCATAAGGCCTCCCACTCTATTTGGGCCTGTCTCTTTCATCTAAAACAAGCAGTGTCAATCCACTGAAACTAAGTACATAACATAATTTTGGGCAGATTTACAGTAGTTTGTAATGACATCATGCCAGTTCGTTCTATGATTTCGTTTGAGATATACTGGGGCCTTAAAGGGTGGTGGTTCTTTTTGCACAGGTAGCACTTAAAGCCTGTAAAAGGCTGACTCACTGCATGGGCCAGGTCCTGCTGAGAGAGGTAGATTACAGGGCAGTTAAGCTCATAAAAAGAAATTTCTCCTCTTTAGATGTTGCTGCCCCTCTCATGGCACGTCAAGGCACAGCTGCACCACTGCAGAGCTGCTCATCTGTCTCTGTTCTTGTTTAGCACTAGAATTGCATCCAGTTTAATAGGCTTGGGTGATATGACAAAAATTTCATATCGCGATAATGATATACAGTTGAAGTCAGAATTATTAGACCTCTATTTACTAGAAAGAAGTTTTTTTTTCAACACATTTCTACATACATAAAAATAACTCATTTCTAATAACTGACTTGTCTATGTCATGATACATAAAATTTTACTAGATTCTTTTCAAGATTCTAGTATTCAGCTTAAAGTGCAGGTTAAAGACTTAACTAAATAAATTTTGTTATTTAGGCAAGTTATGGTAATCCGGCAGATCATTGTATAATGATGATTTCTTCTGTAGACCTTCAAAAACATATTGCTTAAGGGGGCTAATAATATTGAAAATGGTTTAAAAAAAATAAAAACTGCTTTTATTCTAGCCGAAATAAAACAAATAAGACATTATAAACAAATAAATATTATCAGACATTCTGTGAAAAATTCCTTGCTCCGTTAAATCTCATTTGGAAAACATTTGAAAAGAAAAAAAAATTCACAGGAGGGCTAATAATTTTAACTTCAACTGTGCATCACAATAGAAGTCATCTCACAGCCCAATAACATCGATATACAGTGCTCTGCATAAATGAGTACACCTTCTTTTGAAAATTAATATTTTATCAATTTCTCAGTGAATATTGGCAATATATTTTGGTGCATTTAAACAAATCTGTTTTATTTAACAGTTATATATATTAAAATAAGAGTTTGGTCAGCTAGCATCTTTAGGAATAGAAAGATAATACATTTAAATTCAAACAAAGACTCTAGAATACACAAAACATGTCATTCGTATCTTTTTTGAATTGGGAAAATTGTAGCGGTCAATATGGTGAATAAAGCCCCGCCTACTAGTAGAGGAGTCAATCATCGATCGACATATGGTGAAAAAAGCCCACCTTCTTGTACAGGAGCTAATCATCATTTACTATAGACTGACGATACTCCAGGGAAGGGGCTCGGACCAGACGTGAGTTTCTGCAGATTTGTGTGTGATTTGGATGTTTAGAAATGAAACTAAAGCGACAGTTGTTGTTTAATTTTATTGGTGATTCCTAATATGAAATTCAATGGTAAGCAGTTTTGGAGAATTTGATGTTTACCCATTCAAACAGAATGCCCGAGCATACTGCCCGAGAGGCATGTCAAAGATGGCCGCCGGTGCCGTGTGAAATGACTTGCCTTAAAGGGACTTTGATACAAATGAGTTATCACACACAAAACATCCAACTAGAACATTTCAACTACATTTGATATATTTTAATTGTTTCTTATGAGTTTTCCTGTTTATTAAAGTTGCATTTAATATTTTATCACAAAAAATGTTCATTTGGGTGTGCTAATTTTTGAACAGTGACCTTAAGTGTTTTTTGTTTTGTGTTCCAGTTTTGGCTATACTGACTAATCTAATGTATACTCACCAGCCACTTTATTAGGTACACCTTACTAGTGTACTAGTCTATGGGTTGGAGCCC